TCCGCCACTGCCTGCTGAAATGCCACCCTCAAGGGCCAGGTCAAATATCACCCTCTAGATCACAGATGTCAACGGCGAGAGGAACTTCAGAAACAGACCAGCAGTGCCAGTTCCTTCGTGTCAGCTCTGAGCACAGCAGGCCCACAAGCATTAAGTCACACGGCTGGGCAGTAAAGACTTGGTCTGCAAACCAAGTCGACCCACCTGGGTAGGGGCATGCCCTCGCCATGTGTCCGCGGCAGCCCTGTGAATGCTCTCTGCTCTCTTCTTCTAGGAGCACCAGGCTGCTCACTCTCTCTCTGGACTCTCCCCTACACATCAGGATAGAGTTGTTTGCTGTGTCCACATTCCTGCCCGGCTGCTCTAATGGGGAGCCACACCCTGCCCATCACATTACCCCAGTACTTAGCTACCCTTGCCTATAGTGGGCCTTCAGTGGGCTGTTCACAGTCATTGGGCAGACGAAACAAAACACCAGAAAACCACCTGCCTCTCCATCTCTGGTGTGCCTCCCTCCAATCAGCCGGCACGCACTCCAGAGAGAGCCACCTGCCCACAGTGCCGATCCCTCCACACTTCTCTTCAGCTTAAAACACTAGATACACACCATGATAGCCACAATTTGGCATGAAAGACATGAAACGGCCCTTCCTGCCCTTCCAGTATTGTCCCTTCTACCCAGAGCACCACAAGCTCTCCCTCACCTCCATGCCTTATGCCTGCTAGGTCCTCTCCCTGAGACAAACTTCAAGAGTTCCCTCATGCCCAGCTCTCTGCTCAGCCCTGCTTACCCTGCAAGATCCAGAATTCCAAAAATATGGCCTCTTCAAGGAAACCTTCCCTGACTACCCATCCCCCCCAGAATTCACAGTATCAGATTCACGTTGTGGATCATTAGTAACAGCAGCCGAGGGCAAGGAACTAAGATAAGAAGTGAAACAGCTAACTGAAGGAAGGACTGATACCTGCCTAGAGGTGAGGTGCCCTCCTCTGTGCTCCCAAAGCACCCTGGCACCCCTTCTCCATGGTTCCGAGCATGCAGCAGCACATGTATTTGTCTACACACCTGCCCCAGTTCCTGACTAGACCGTAACTTAGGGTGACAGCTATGTTTGCCTCTCCTGGACCTAGCACAAAATCCAACACATTAAATTAGACTCAATAATTCTCACTTGCTAGTTACAATGAGACCCAACAAATGTAGGGTGTCCCCAAAAAATGTACACACATACTTTGAATAATTATAAAGGCAGTGTATGTATATATGTGATATATATCATTTTACTAAAATATTTTAAAATATGTAGAATATATATATATATATATAATAAAACCCTAATATGCAAATTGACCGAACAGCAGAACAACTGGTCACTGTGACACTCACTGATCACCAGGGGGCAGATGCTCAATGCAGGAGCTGCCCTGGTGGTCAGTGCACTCCCACAGGGGGAGCGCTGCTCAGCCAGAAGCTGGGCTCATGGCTGGCAAGCACAGCGACAGTGGTGGGAGCCTCTCCTGCCTCCGCCACAGGCAGGCAATAAGGAGTGAGGGGTCCCGGACTGCAAGAGCCCTGGACTGCGAGAGGGACGTCTGACTGCCAGCAGCAGACATCCTCCAAAGGGTACCAACTGCGAGAGGGCGCAGGCCAGCCTGAGGGACCCCCCACACACACCAAGTGCACGAATTTTGTGCACCGGGCCTCTAGTATATATATAATTTTACTAAAATACTTTAAAATATGTAGGCCTTATGTACATATCAGCATAATATCAGCAATACATTCAAGAGGACATGTCCCCAGATCTCAGCAGAAAAGCATTTACTACACACCCACAGTCTTAAAGAGCTTAAGAAGCATATTGGAATGATGAACTCCCAGGCATTCAACACTTGAGTCCCTGTGAAGAGGTGCGGTGACCTAACCAATTCAGCCATCTAACCAGAGTGGCTCTGAGTACATGACCAATTTCCACTAAGCACAGGAGAGGAAGAGGAGAGCACTGGAGACCAGCAAGTGTTTGCAAAGGAAAACTCTCTCCCAGAAGCCTCACAAGTGCCCGGAGAGTCCCCAGGTACTCAATCTCTGTGCAGTGAGCACACAGTGGCTTCAGGAGACCCACCCGAGATGGCCACTGGGGCTGGGGAGCTGTCAACAGATGGCTTAGAATTCAGTGGTTCTCAACCTTCTGGCCCTTTAAATACAGTTCCTCATGTTGTGACCCAACCATAAAATTATTTTTGTTGCTACTTCATAACTGTCATGTTGCTACTGGTATGAATGGTAATGTAAATATCTGATATGCAGGATGGTCTTAGGCGACCCCTGTGAAAGGGTCGCTCGACCGCCAAAGGGGTCGCGACCCACAGGTTGAGAACCACTGGCTTAGATGAAAACCACGAGCCTCATAGAATTCATAGAATCAGATTCACACGTGGATCATTAGTAACAGCCCCGAGGGCAGGGAACTAAGATAAGAAGGTAAACAGCTAACTGAAGGACGAACTGATACCTGCCCAGAGAAGCATACCTGCACTACTGGACTGGAAAGGAAGAAGGGAGTATCCAGGTGTGCGGGGAAGGAAGGAGAAAATGAGGGCAGTGTTCACTGAGAAAGTAGCAGCAGCCTCTTGCTCTTCCTGCTGCCACCTCCACAATCTGGCTGCATCAACTTTACCAGATTTATCTTCCTAAAATAACCTATCACACTAGTGTCTAGGGGTTGGGGAGCTGTCCTGGCCGGGGTGCTCAATGGTTAGATCATCAGCCTATGCATGGCAAGGTCATGGGTTCGATCCCCAGTCCTGGTCGGTCTAGGGCCGTGGTCAGCAAACTGCGGCTCACAAGCCACATGCGGCTCTTTGGCCCCTTGAGTGTGGCTCTTCCTAAGCCTTAGGAGTACCCTAATTAAGTTAATAACAATATACCTACCTATACAGTTTAAGTTTAAAAAATTTGGCTCTCAAGAGAAATTTCAATCGTTGTACTGTTGATATTTGGCTCTGTTGACTAATGAGTTTGCCGACCACTGGTCTAGGGTGTAGGGGAGGCAAGCAATTGATGTGTCTCACATAGATGTTTCTCCCTCTCCCCCTCCCCTCCCACTCTCTCTAAAATCAATGGAAAATATATCCTCGGGTGAGGATTAACAAAATAAATAAATTAAAAATAAAAATTAAAAAAGAAACCTTCCATCACAGGGATGTAAAGTACAGAATAGAGAATATAGTCAAAAATATTGTAATAACTATGTATGGTGCCAGGTGGGTACTGGAAATATAGAGGGAAATACTTTGCAAAGTATATGATTGTCTAACCACTACGCTGTATATCTGAAACGAATACAAAATAATGCTGAACATAAAAAATATATATATAATTTTGATTACATGAAAAAAGAAGTCCAGATTCCCAATTTTCTAGAATAACCCAAACTCCTTAGCCTGACATTCAGACACTGTACACATGGTCCAAGCTGGCTGTGCAGGCTCAGCCCTCACCAGCTCTCCTTCCAGTGGCTGAATCCCTGCTGAACCCAGGTGCACTCGTCTCAAGGTCCACCCAGGCCTGAGCTTATCCCATGGCTCCTCCCAGCATTATCTTGCTCACCCCTCAAGCCCCAGTCCAAAGAC